GTGGTAGCGCGCGCCTGTAGTTCCCAGCTACATGGAAGGCTGAGGCGGAAGGATCGCCGGAGCCCAGCAGTCGAGGCTGCGGTGGCCGGGAGCGGCCACTGCACTCCAGTCTGGGCGACAGAGTGAGACTCCAACTCAAAAACAAAAAACAAACAAATAAAAATAAAGAAATTGGCAAATATGTAAAACAATGCCACTATCACCACATTTTTCATTAAAATGATCATGTCAACATGTAATGGGTGTATTACTATTACTTTCCACTGTGTTCGATATTTTTAAATTTTCTGTTAACTTTTTTTTTGAGTCAGAGTCTCACTCTGTTATTCAGGCTAGAGTGCAATGGCACTATTATGGCTACCACAGCCTCGATCTACTGGGCTCAGGCGATCCTTCCGCCTCAGTCTTCCAAGTAGCTAGGACTACAGGAGAACTGACTAATTTTTTGATTTATTGTAGAGATGAGGTCTCACCATGTTGCCCAACCTGGTCTCAAACTTCTGGCCTCAGGCAATCCTCTTGCCTCAGGCTTCCAGAGTGCTGGAATTACAGGCATAAGCCACCATACCTGGACTCAGTTAATTTTCTTTTCCTCTGAAATTTTTTTTTTTTTTTTTGGTATCTGTATGGTCACCTCTCTGTGAGGTTAATTTTCAATACAGCAAATATTGATATAAACTACATAAACAAAAGCCGGGGGCGGGTGCCATGGCTCATGCCTACAATCCTTATGCTTTCGGAGGATGAGACAAGATCACTTGTGACCAGGAGTTCGAGACCAGCCTGGGCAGCATAGTGGGACCCCATTATTACAAAAAAACAAAACATTAGCTGGGCCTGGTGCTGTGCATCTGCAGTCCCAGCAACTTGGAAAGCTGAGGCTGGAGCACTGCTTAAGCCCAGGACCTCGAGGCTGCAAAGAACTAAATTCACACCACTGCACTCCAGACAGGCTACAGAGAGAGACGCTGACTAAAAAAAGAAAGAAAAAAAATGTAAAACCACATAAACAGAGGCTTTTAGGTCCTCAACAATTTATAAGAGTACAAAGGCGTCTTGAGAAGAAAAGTTTAACCACACAGTAAGACACTTTTCCCTATCAGGCATATTAAAATTCAAAAGAGTTGATGTTCAAAAAAAAAAGGCAATACAAAGCGAACAAGGAAGCAGTACTAGGCAAGGTATGTGCTTCTCTCTTTGATATTAGATTTCCTAATTTACAATTGGTAACATTTGTATATAGTAAAATCTACTGTAAACCATTGAGTGACATTACTAAAAGTACCTCTGCTTCTCAAGACAATAGCCAGAGGTAATAACAAAAGAGATTCAAGGAAATTTCCAATTGTCTATTTCAACACCCCTTTATTAAATCATATGTACTACTGAAATATAGAGAAATCATAAGTTATCTGAAGATCAATACTGATATCACTAACTCAATCTGTTTCATATATTGACACAACTCATCTTCATTATAGAACATAGTATCTTAAATTTTTGATAAGCCAAATAAAACCTAATTTCAAATTGGCTCCAAGAACACACTTTAATATAATTTGAATACTGTTATGTTATACTAATAGCAAATAATTTAACAACTTTAACAAAGCAAAACTAACTTTGCTCAACTAAGTACAAAATTTAGGTCCAGTAATATTTTTTTTAATGAAATGGTTAGGTTTCTAAATTATTGGTTTCCTCACTACTATGAGTATCTGAAGTATCCCTGAATATAATCAAATGATGTAAGCATAAAATGTCATTGTTAAACTATTAATTGCATTAAAAAAACGTAGACTTTACCATAGCAGAGTATAATATAGGCTAACAGCTTTCATTACCTCAGATTCAACCATCATTCATTCACCAAATATGTTTAAGCAGCTACTATGAGCCTGATGCTATGGTGGGCAAAGGGGATACAATGAGCCGGGATCGATGGCTCAGCCTGTAATCCCGCGCCTTGGGAGGCTGAGGTGAGTGGATTGCCTGAGCCCACGGGTTCGAGACCTGCCTGGACAACTTGGTAAGACCTCATCTCTACAATAAATCAAAAATTAGCCGGGCGTGGTAGCACGCGCCTGTAGTTCCAGCTACTAGGAAGGCTGAGGCGGAAGGATCACCGGAGCCCAGCAGGTGGAGGCTGCGGTGGCTGGAAGCAGCCACTGCACTCCAGTCAGGGCGACAGAGTGAGATTCCAACTTAAAAAAAAAAAGGGGGGGGGATACAATGAACAAAATAGATAATAGTTTTTATCTTCAATGGACTTGCATTCTGCTCTGGGAAACAAAAACAAATACACAAAAAATAAGGTAATTGTAAATGTGGTAAATGCTATTAAGGAAACAAACAAGGCTCTGCCACAGATTACAGTCTTTGAAAGCTGAATTGTGGAATTCTAACAGACCTAAAGATAAATAATTCATGAAGAGTTACATCAAGATGACATGGATTCTACAGACCTTTGCTAATGCATAAAAAACTAGACACTGACCATGAAAACAGAGATCAATCTCTCATTGTCAAACAACTGAATGGCATTACTTAGCAACATAGTAGTCTTGAAAGATAATTAGCCTCATATCATGAATAGAATTTTGAAACAGAAAAAGGACATTAGGTAAAAACTAAGGAAATCTGAGCAAACAATGGACTTTTTAGTCAATAATAGTATATCAATATTAGTCCACTAATTGTAACAAATGTACTATACTAATGTGAGATGCTAATAACAGAGGAAATCATGTATGGGGTATATGGAAAAAGTCTGCACTATCTTCTCAATTTTTCTGTAAATCTAAAACTGTTCAAAAAATACAGTCGATTTTATGTAAAAATCTAACAAAGCTTCAGGTGGGGTTAGTAAAGACTTAAAGTAAGAAATGAAAAGCCATAAAACCCTGGATTGTGAATTAGAACATAAGTACTCAAGATATTAAAGGGAAATTATAAGATACTTAAGTTAAACTCTCTATTCATGATAAAAATTTCCCTAGACAGAGAAATGAATGGCTTTTCATGCAAACTAAACAGCTATGCATTACAATTTAAGGCAGGCAATGACAGACATAGAGTGCACAATAAGCATTTTGGATCCTATTTATCAATAATGACTAATAAGCTATATTTTACGTATGGCATTGTCCTGAAATTGACATAAAATAGCTGAACCAGAATCAACCCCATGGGTTCTACCAAGTTACTCACCTAAGGAAACGAGCTTATATTTACTTCAGGAAAATCTACAAGCAAAAGAAGGAGATTGTATTCTTACCCCCAAAAGGGGAGAGAAGAAGATAATCTATGTATGAAAGGAGAAAAATAATTTCCCAGGTCCAACTAGAGGAAATTCTGCAACTAGTATTAGTCTACTTTAATGGCATGTAAATTAGTATAAATAATAGTTCAAGATAGTAATAAAAGCTATGAATTTATTTCAGTTACATGTCTTCCAGTCAAAACAAATAACTAATGTTTTCTATAACCTCATCTAAGACATCTAGTGAGTACCCAATGTTTGATGACTTGGAACTAATCTCTCAATGTCTGAATTTTAAAGATGGTCATGAAAAGTCAGAAAAACAAAGGAAGATAATAATCTCTGTATTGTTGAGAGTCAAGTCTGTACAAACACAGCATAAAATTAAAGTTACTACAAGAAGCAATCTTAGAGACAACCATCGTAAATTAAGATCTTATATGTTATACAAAGTACAGCGACAGCAGAACCTGACCAGATAAATGACATAATATTCTACACTATCTGATGAGTGAAACTGTTAAGTATAAAAGAATCATTTAGCCCAAATGGTACTTAAATCTAATTTAGATTAACTAGATGATGAATCTATTACTACTCCATTAACCAAAGGAAATCCGACGAAACAAAGATGTTCGTTATTCTAAGTCTTCTTTCACATGAAGCCTACGTATATCACTGGAAAATACTCGAGAAGAAATGAATAATTAACATTTCCCCAGTAATTCCTGTTTGCACCACCACGAGAATCAGACGCTGCTTCATATTGAAACGAGAAAGGGGGGAGGTAAGATGCGAAAAATTCCAAGTGAAATGATCATGACATAGCATCTGGCAGAGATTGAAAAACCATCAACACTGCCAAAAGAATTGTCAGTGATTAAAGTCAAGAGAAGAAAATGAGGTTTTCCGAAAAGCCACAGCCCAATCTAATCTAAGGGGCAAAAATCGCTGCACCCCTTTTACCCCCAAGCACCCAGTTCCCAAGTCGTCTCCAATTCGGATATTTCAGACTAATTTCTCACCTAGGTAAAAACCATCCAACAAATTTTTCTAGGATCACCACTTTAAACCTTCCGCGACATCCGCACTTCTCAGGGCCAAGCCTCAGGGGAAAACAACGCCCAGATCCCACCCTCCTTGGCCAAGGTTGAAGAGGGCCCGCTCCCAGGAGTGGGGCTTATTGGAGTGGGCCTCACAGAGCTGAAGCACCCGAGGAGAAAGCAAGAAATAAGGGTGGGGCTCAAGAAAAGGGGCCAGGGGAAGGGGAGACGACGGAGACCGGAGGAAGAAAGCGATGGACAGGAGGCCGGGGCTGGGCGGGGTGAGGGCGGGGAGGGGCGCAGAACCACCGGAGATGGCCGGGCTGCGGGGAGCGGGGACGGCGGAGGCAGGGACCGAAGGACCCGCAGAACAGGGTAAAGATCCGAGCGACGGATCCCGGCGAGGAGCCGGCGGCAAGGGGGGACCGGGGGAAGGGCTGGGGCGGAACCGAGCGCGGACGCGAGGCGGCAGGGAGCCTCCGCGGACGGAAAGGCCGCACTGGGGGCGGTGCGGGGCAGCGGCGGCCAGCTGCCAGGAGAGGGGGAGCCGCGCACTCACCGCTCTGCTCCCCCAGGAACACCAGCTTGAATTTCCTCAGCGGATTCCCGAAGTCTCCGCCCGCGGACATGATGGAGCCGGAGGAGCTGCCGCCGCCTCAGCCCAGAGACCTCCCGGACCGACGCTGCTCCAACCGACGAAAAGGCGAGCGGAAGGGCGGGCGCCGAGCTCTCTCGGCCCCTGCAGGGCCCGGCGGCGGAGCGAGGCTGGAGGGCAGCAGGACTCTCCACAGACAGGCAGCCGTCGCCGCTGCCGCCTCCCGCAGAGTCTCCTAGGGCCGAAGGAAGGCGGTGTCGGAAGCCAGGGGTGCGCTCTGGGTTCCCAAGGCTAGGGCCGTTCCGATCCCTGGCACCCGGCACGGAGACTGGGGTGACAGAGGCGGAGAGTGGCCGAGCCGGAACCGCAGACGTGTCTGGGACCTCTCACGCGCAGCGCCTCAGCTCCCACAGCCGCCGCCGCCGCCGCCGCAGCCCAACCTGCTGAGTGCGCGAGCCTCTGGCGCGACGCGGGGCGAGCCCGGGCGCGAGCCTGCCGCCCGCCGGCTGCCGACGTGCGTGCGTGCGTGCGTGCGCGCCACCGCCAGCGCCTCCCTGGTTGAGCCAGCTCTCCCGGCTCCTCCCGCGCGGCGGCGACGAGGACAGGTTTTGACTCGCGTCGGGAGAAGCAAGGAGAAGGTGGAGCAGAACCGGGGTAAGTGAAGGGGTGGAAAAATGGAGCACTTACGTCACTTGCGTGATGAGCCAATTGGAAGAGTCCGAGGGCGAGCAGGCACGCGAGTGAGGTGGCGGCGCGAGAGCGCGCGCAGCCCTCGACCCTGGAAAGCGGAGCGTGGCGGCGGCCATGATGAGTGTGTCGTGTCTGCGCCTGAGGGGAGGGAAGGAAGGCGGAGGGAGGCGGGACCCGGACGGAGGTTGAATGACCCCAACAAAGTGCGGGAGGGGTCCAGTAGCCCTAAGGTGTGTAATAGATAGGTGCCTCCTTCTGAGGCCTCAGCCCTGCTTCACATTCCTCAGATTCACCCTTCACCCCTGCTCCCAACCCACCTCCTCCACCTTCTTTCTCATCATAATTCCTCACAGCTTCTTACTAGATACAATCTGGTCCATTGCTCCCAGGGATTTTATGACTGCCAGAAGCAGGGCCTCTTATTTTGCAGATTAAGAAACTGTAGCCCAGAAGGAGAAAATGACTTGCAAAATCCATCAAGTGGAGCCGAGGTTTTCTTGCTTTTCCTCCTCTGAACCTTTAAAACCTCCTTATTGATAAGGAGATACACAGTTGCCTAACCTGACTTGGTATTCTGTTGCCAATCCTTGTTCCCTAGATTTTGATAACCCATAACTTTATTGATGACTGACACCTACCTTCTACCTTGCTAGAAAAGGGCTTAGACATCATTTAAACCAAACCCCTCATTTCGCAGATGACGAAACTGAGGCCCACATAGGAAGCAGCTTTGCAGAAGGTCACACAACAAATTCAGGAAAAGCCTGAACTAAAGCCCAAATCTGGGGAAGGGGATATTTTAAGGATCACTCCTTGCTCCTAAAGCAGGGCTTCTGAATCTGCTATGGGCGAATCTCCCTAAGTCATATGAAGCATGTACATTTTCCTGTGGAGAGGGGCCATAGCTATTATCCCAGATTTTCAGCCTGGTTTATAATCCAAAAAAATGAAGACTGACAACTCAACCAAGAGGAATCTAAGGCGACATGGCAGCTAAGTGTAACGTGGACAACTAGCATGGCATGTTAGCATGGCATGTTAACTAATATGATAGCAACTAATGAGACAACTAACACAACTAAACATTAAGTTTTAAGATGAATGGGATCCTGAAACAGAAAAGAACTTCAGACAAAAGCAAAGGAAATGTGAATAAAGTATGGACTTCAGTTAACAATGTATCAATAATTGGTTTACTAATTGTAGCACATGTATTATTTCCGCTATTAATAATAGAGGAAACTAGACAGAAGCGTATATGGGAACTTTGTGTATTTACTAACTGTGCAAGTTTTCTGTAAATCTAAAACTGTTCTAAAAAATAGTTTATTAATAAAAAAGCTAAAAACCATCAAGCTAGAGAATTTGACATCCAAACAACTTCAGCCACACCTCGCCATATTGTGGGACAGGATCCAGAAAAGAAATCCCTGCTCTTGGAGAGGATACTTTGAAAAACTGGCATCAAGCCGGGCTCAGTGGCTCAGCCTGTAATCCCAGCGCTTTGGGAGGCCGAGGTGAGTGGATTGCCTGAGCCCGCGGGTTCGAGACCTGCCTGGGCAACTTGGCGAGACCTCATCTCTACAATAAATCAAAAACTAGCCGGACGTGGTAGCGCGCACCTGTAGTTCCAGCTACTTGGAAGGCTGAGGCGGAAGGATCGCCAGAGCCCAGCAGGTTGAGGCTGCAGTGGCCGGGAGCGTTCCACTGCGCTCCAGTCTGGGCGACAGAGTGAAACTCCAACTCAAAAAAGAAAGAAAGAAAGAAAGAAAGAAAAAAAACTGGCATCAAAACTACTTCCCAACTTAATAATAAAAAAAGTCCTTATATTTGTATAAAATATCTTATTCACAAAACACATGCATATAGATCTTATTATTTGGGAGTTATTCACTTGCTACAGAAATGACAGGATCAAACAAGCAACTTTTCAAACCCAGACCTGAATTGCTGACATAGAATAAATTAAGGGAGGAACTGAAGTTCTTAAAATATCATCTGTAACAAGCATCTAAAATGAAATGGTAAAAACCTGAGTTGTGACATGGACATTTGATTTTGGATGGGTTTTTTTTGGGGGGGTGTTGAGACAGGATCTCACTTTGTCACCCAGGCTGGAGTGTAGTAGTGCAATCATCGCTCACTGCAGCCTCTACCTCCTGGGCTCAAGTCATCCTCCTGCTTCAGCCTGCTGAATAGCTAGAACTACAAAAGTGTGCCACTACACCTGGTCAATTTTTTATTTTTATTTTTTGTAGAGATGAGGTCTTGCTATGCTGCCCAGGCTGATCTTGAACTCCTGGCCTCAAGCAATCCTCCTGCTTTGACCTCCCAAAATACTGCAATTAGAGACATGAGCTGTTGTACCCAGCCCTTTTTAAATATATATATATTTGATTTTACAAGTAACTGGTCAAGTCTATTGACCTCCCCACCATTAACCCAGAAGCCTACACAAAGAACAGCCTAAACCAAGAAACTTTTTTTAAAAGCTCATACAAACAAAAGTGAGTCGCTGTTTTTTCTTTCTGATGGGTACTAGGTTTTCATTATGTTTCCTGAAATAGCTTTAAAGTAACATTTGAGGATTGAAACTATAATTACTTTGTACTTCCTACAGAATTTATGAATCAATTCCTCCCTGCTGCTTTGGTCTCTGTAGTCACCTAGATGCTATTCCCTATCATTTTGAAGAGAGGTGTGGTATAGTCTACCTTTTACTTCTAATGTTTTCAGCTTTCATTTTGCATTGACATATACACTGCTTCATTCTCCTCTGAAGCTGCCTTTATATTTATCAGATACTTTGTGTAAGTTATATCTTCAGAGATTTTATGGTCTAAAAGTTGCATATTAAGTGCTATAGGGCTCAGCAAATAGAAAAATAATTTTGGAGAAGGAGGAATTAGGCCCTTTTCAAGAGTACATTCTCTAACATTTTTGCCTCCATAATTTCCTACACACACTTCTTTATCTTGAACACTTTTCCTTCCCTTCCCCAATTAAGTTATCTTAGTCCCTTCAGGCTGCTATAACATAATACTGTAGATAGGATGGCTTAAACAACATTAATTTCTCTCAGTTCTGGAGACTGGAAAGTCCAAGATCAAAGTGCCAGAAGATTCACTGTCTGGTGAAGGCTTGCTTCCTGGTTCACAGAAAACCATCTTTCCATTGTTTCCTTACATGGCAGAAAGAAGGCAAGAAAGCTCTCCGGGGTCTGTTTTCCAAGGGAACTAATCCCATTCATGAGGTCTCCACCCTCATGACCTAATTACCTCCTGAAAGCCCCACCTACTAATACCATCATATTGGGGATTACACTTTCAACATATGAATTTTGAAAGGACACAAACATTCAGTCTACTGTACAAGTCTTGAAGATGGTTACCCCATCTGCTCCCATACCCACCAACAATGTAAGTACCCTTGCCTGTCCTCCCATTGTACCCTATTCTTCCCTATCACTTCATTGTTATTATTTGTCAGTGTTCCCTGACTTTAAGCTCCTTTAAGTCAGATTTAATGTCTTATATACCCAACTCTTGAAGAGTGCTTGTTACATTGTAAGCATGCAAAAGATATTTGCTAATGAAATTAGAGGAATTATTTATTTTTCATTATCTTCAAAGGATGAATGGGATGTGGGCATGCAGAGAAGGAAGAGTAAGAGCATTCTGGAGAAAGAGAACATCACCCAAAAACATGTGTAAATTTATATTTATTATTATTTTGTTATTGTTGTTTTGTTTTGTTTTTCTGTTGTTTGAGTTGGAGTCTCACTCTGTCGCCCAGACTGGAGTGCAGTGGCCGCTCCCAGACTTCAACCTGCTGGGCTCTGGCAATCCTTCCACCTCAGCCTTCCAAGTAGCCGGAACTACAGGCACACTACCACGTCCAGCTAATTTTTTAAAAATTTATCATAGAATGAGGTCTTGCCAAGTTGCCTGGGTTGGTCTCAAACCCACGGGTTCAGAGAATCCACTTGCCTTGGCCTCCCAAAGTGCTAGGATTACAGGCTGAGTCTCTGAGCCTGGCCGTAAATTGATATTTCATTCCTAAACATTATTTATGAAAAAGATGCCCAGAAAAGTTTTTGTAACTAAAAATGAGGAACAATGGGAGAGGACAGGCTCACAAATTCAAAGTACTTACAGCAGTTTTCATTGACCAATTTAAAGGGAATCTCTAATTTGAAGCCCATGAGTGTGTTAGGAATCTACCACACAGAAATTGTAATAAAATCATAACTTGTCTTATGCCCCGAGAGACAAAAAGCTTTTGGGGGGAGAACTGAGATTTCATCTTATAGTGCCAGATACCATTGGTTGCAAAAATACACAAAAAACACAGAAACATGCTTTGCTTTCACAATACATTCTGGACACAAGAGATGTTTCCATCTTTCCTAGGGTACAGGCATATAACTCGATCCGAGCCAGTGAGAGATGAAGGAAATGTGCTAGAGGCTTCTGAGATGAATTTTCTTCCTTGATGAAATGGATCGATGAGAAAAACTGCCATTTTTTTCTGCCATTGGATGTGGTTGTGTAAGGACATGATATTTAGAGCTAAGAAAGCTCTTCCGAACATTAATATATAATTCTGAAGAAAAAAGTCAACCCACTGATGATGGCTAAGCAGAGAGCTAAAAGGCATCATTGAACTACTGTACTGACCCTGGGACTGGCCTTCCTCTGGATTTCTGTTTAGTAAAATAATAAATGTCTTTATAGTTAATAATGTCTTTGTAATTTAAGTGTCTTTGTATTTCTTTGTTATTGTTACTTGCGGCTGAAAGCAACTGACATTCTCATTTGTACATCCCTTAAAACTTCTTGCATAGTTCTTTAAAAATTAGGCGCTCAATATTATATGTGTATGAGGGAGGACCCCTCCAAAAAAACAGAATTATTTTTTAGAGGGCGGATCCCATGTAGTAGGCTTTCCCAGCAAGGTAAATGTTCTAGAAACCCATCAGCATCAGTGTACATCAGACTGTACAACCAAATGTAACTTGCCTAAGAAGCCAACCAACTAACGTTGTTAGAGGCTGCATTCAGCTTCAGTACTTTTTTTTTTTTTTGAGATTCTTTCAACACATTTACCCATTTCATGATTGGAGATTTACACGAAAAACCAGCCCACATCACGCTGACTGTTCAGCAGTTTTTGACCAAAAATGTCATGACCCCCATGCCCCACCCTCCCTATACACCGGATCTCTCCCTGAGCGACTTTTTATTGCCCTGAACAAAAAAAAAAAGTTCTCAGAGGAAAACATTTTGCCAATGTGGAATAGGTGAAACAAACAATGGCAGAAGCACTAAAAGGTATCAAAACTGAACAGTTCAAAAACCGTTTTGAGCAGCGGAAAAAGCGTCTTGATAGGTGTATTGCATCAAACGGAGATCCTTTTGAAGGCGACTGAAGTTTAAACGTGTAAGAATAAATGGCGGCTGGCTCACGCCTATAATCCCAGCACTTTGGGAGGCCAGGTGAGAGGATTACCTGGGCCCAAGGGTTCAAGACTAGCCTGGGCAACTTGGCGAGACCACGTTGCAACAATAAATCAAAAAATTAGCCGGCATGGTGGCACATGCCTGTAGTTACAGCTACTTGGAAGGCTGAGGCAGAAGGATTGCCAGAGTCCAGCAGGTCGAGGCTGCAGTGGCTGTGAGCGTGCCATTGCACTCGAGCCTGGGCAACAAGAGTGACAGCCTCTGACTCAAAAAAAGAAAACATGCGCAATTTTAAAATAAATAAATTCTGGAGTTTTTAGGGTCCCTCTTCATACATATAAAGTAGTAGTTATCAAATTGGAGCTGCCTTTTTCTGTTTACTCCCTAAAAAGGATTTATTACTGTCAGAGAGGCAGGAAATCAATAGCAGGAGAAAAACTGCCCAGGTGAAAGAACTGAAATCATATTGCTCACATTCGAAGCAAATAATAGCTCTGGCAGGAATTCAAATTCCATCAACTACAAAGCTCTTCTAACCCATACTGCAGGTTATTATAATCACTGCTACTAAAAATAATAGTGGGTCAATATACAAAGTATAAAAATGACAAATGCTCAGTAATTCAAGGTGACCAATTAAATGAGTATAATTAACACAAGGCATGTTAAGTAAGTCTTATTTTTATTTATTTTTTAATTTTTTTTGAGTTGGAGTCTCACTCTGTCGCCCAGACTGGAGTGCAGTGGCCGGTCCCAGACACCTCAGCCTCAACCTGCTAGGCTCTGGTGATCCTTCCGCCTCAGCCTTCCGAGTACCAGAATTACAGGCATGTGCTACCACGCCCGGCTGATTTTTTTTTTTTTTTTTTTTTATTGTAGAGATGAGGTCTCGCTGTCCAAGCGGGTCTCGAACCCGTGGGCTCAGGCAATCCACTCACCTCAGCCTCCCAAAGAAGTAAGTCTTATTTTAAAAGGACCACAAGAAAAAAAAAAAAAGAGGGGATCATGTTAAAACCTGTTTTCCAACGTTGTGTTTTGACCTCTAAGTATATGCCATAGGAGAAGAATAAAGGTTATTCAGTCACAGTGGAAGAGAAGGTGGTGGAACGTAAATGGAATGGACCTTCCTGTGATTATAGCCAATTAGTAGCTAAGTCAGGGATATTTTTGCTGCAGATTGATCTACAGAATCTATTTCTGATAATTCCATTCTGTTCTGTTCATGTGAATCATGGTCCCTGTTGTGAATAATGTGATTTCTCAGCGTCTTATAAGTGACGTGTTACTTCCAGGCTTTGAAATTGCATGAGAGAAGTTGCTTCTTTTTATGCTAGTCCAGGATGTGTAATGCCTGACACACTCTCCCCACACTTTATCCTCTACACATAATAAAGTCTCTTCTAAGATGTACAGAAGAATGAATCACTTCACCTGCTACTAAGAGATAGTCACTGAGAGTGGAAGAGAACAACTGCTTCTACTGCTGTTTATATAAAAAACAGAGCGTGTTAGGACAGAAAAGTGAGAACAACATTGTTTGCACTGAAATACCAACAGACTGTACAACCAAAATGTAACTTGCCTGAGAGGCCAATAAAAACTGTGAATATTTCTTCAGATTTTTGAGTAACACAAAGTGACTAGAAGTTTATTTTATATAAAATTTTAAAAAATTAAAATAATTAAAGAAGTTGTAGCTGAAATTATCTAGTGAGACAATAAGCCACAACATCATGGGAAAAACTTGAACAAACTTCCAGTTTTAGGAAGATAGATTACAGATGCTTCTGTCTCCTTCCCTTCTGAATCTATTCCAAAACAAGAATAAAAAAATCAAAGCACAAACTTTAGCTTTGACATCTCTAACCCAGAGCTATATTCTTTTAAGGAGATAAAGAGCAGTGGTAACTGACTAAACAGAACATATAAAGTGCTTATTGAAGGATGAAAATAACAAGAAGCAAGCCAATCAACCAAGCAGAATTGTAGAAAGGTTCAGAAACATGAAACACCAGAAACCACACAAGACAGAGATAAGGCAAGGAATCAAAAACAAGGAAATTGAATCAAAGAATGTATAAGGACCACTTGTAGACCCATCCTCTGTAGAGGAACCGAACACAAGAAGCTCTATGCTCAGTTAACCAGGCATAGTAGAGTACCAGGGTGAGGTGCTGCCAAAAAACAAAGGGATTGATAATCATCTCTCTCCAAGCATCTTCCATAACAATAGCAGCCAGTCATATATGCCCTCAAAAGACCTTTCTCTCAATAAACAAACATCCCAGAGAAAGGACCTGTACATTCTGAATATAGGAATTCTTCAATAAAAAAGCCAGTTCACCACCAAACCATTCTATAATGAGCCCCATCTAATAATAAATGTCACCAGTCATACTGAGTTTTCAATGCATTTGTTGACTACTCGTAAATATGAACAAACTGTAAAAGTTCACCATATATTTAAGGAAAGTCTCCCATATGAAATAAACAGAAAAAAAAAAAAAACTCAGAAAGTTTATAAGAAAAAACCTACTGCACTTATGAAGGAAGAGCAAGATCCTTTTTTTTTTTTAAAGTCACTCTGGACAAAAATGGACTTTCTTCTTTAAGAAATCATATTCTCTAGCCGGGCTCAGTGGCTCAGCCTGTAATCCCGCGCCTTTGGGAGGCTGAGGTGATTGGATTGCCTGAGCCCGCGGGTTCGTGACCCGCCTGGGCAACTTGGCGAGACCTCATCTCTACAATAAATCAAAAATCAGCGGGCGTGGTAGCGCGCGCCTGTAATTCCGGCTACTCGGAAGGCTGAGGCGGAAGGATCGCCGGAGCCCAGCGGGTCGAGGCTGCGGTGGCCGGGAGCGGCCACTGCACTCCAGTCTGGGCGACGGAGTGAAACTCCAACTCAAAAAAAAAAAAAAAAGAAATCATATTCTCAACCAGGTCCAGTTGCTCACACATGTAATCCCAGCACTTTGGGAAGCAGAGGTGAAAGGATCACCTGAGCCCAGGGATTCCAGACCAGCCACTGGACTCCAGTTGGGGTGACAAAGTAAGATGAATAAGAAAGAACGAAAGGGCCGGCTCGGTGGCTCAGCCTGTAATCACGCGCCTTTGGGAGGCTGAGGTGAGTGGATTGCCTGAGCCCGCGGGTTCGAGACCCGCCTGGGCAGTGAGACCTTATCTCTACAATAAAAAAAAAAAAAAAATTCAGCCAGGCGTGGTAGCGCGCACCTGTAATTCCGGCTACCCGGAAGGCTGAGGCGGAAGGGTCGCCGGAGCCCGGCAGGTCGAGGCTGCGGTGGCCGGGAGCGGCCACTGCACTCCAGTCTGGGCGACAGAGTGAGACTCCAACTCAAAAAACAAAAAACAAAAAAACAGGACATACTGAAAGGATTGAAAACCAGAACGGCATCAACCTTCTCAGTAATAACATTGGAAACTTGGAAACAATTCAGCTACACCTAAGTGAAAAGAATTTTCAGTCTAGAATTATTTCCTGGGCAAACTATCATTTAAATGTATGGTAAAGCAAAAATATTTCCAGATATGCAAGGTCTCAAAGTTCACCTCTCATGTCATCTTTTTCAAAAAGCTATCTATGTAGTCAACCCAGGAGCTAAACTACCGATAAGGAAGATATAGTTCCAGGAATAGGAAGTCCTATACAAGAAAGGAGAAAAAAAATTCCCAGAAAAAGCCCAAAAAAGTCATAAGGCAAGAGCTGTACAACAGGCCTAAAGGGTAATTAGTCCAGATGGAGCAAAGGATGAAGGTTCAATTTGACCATATAGAAAACTGACTTCAGAGACAACTAGAGGATAAAGAAAAACTTACCAACAATGCAATTAAAAACAGGCAAAATAAGGCTGGATGAGGTAGCTCATGCCTGTAATCTCAACACTTTAGGAGGTTGAGGTGGGAGGACTGCTTGAGTCCAGGAGTTCAAGTCCAGCCTGGGCAAGGTAGCAAAACCTTGTTTCTATAAAAAAATAATTTAAAAATAGGTAAATTTCCAGGCTCGGTGGCTCAGGCTATAATCCCAGCTCTTTGGGAGGCCGAGGTGAGTGGATTGCCTGAGTCCTCGGGTTCAAGACCAGCTTGGGCAGCTTGTTGAGACCTCGTCTCTACAATAAAAATAAAAAAATAATTAGCCGGGCGCAGTAGTGCCCTCCTGTAGTTCCAGCTACTTGGAAGGCTGAGGCAGAAGTGTCGCCGGAGCCCAGCAGGTTGATGCCGGGGTGGCCGTGAGCGTGCCACTGCACAGCAGCCTGGGCGATGGAGTGAGACTCCAA